CAACCTCCCGTAACAAGGTTCGTAGTTGCTCAGTCACCTCTACCAACTGTTGTTCGATGTTATGTGTGGCCGTGCACTGTTCTTCAATCGCTCTCCAAAAAGCTTGTAACCCCTGATCACCGTCACGGCGTGGGTTGCGACTGCTACCATCTTGGTTGGCCATCTGACTGGGCAAACTCCCTGCTCTGATACCACTTGACGCAGCGTGGAAGCAATGGACACCGGAGCTGGCTATGCAAGCACCGGGCGTTCGCTAATTCCTAGCGAATAACACCGATTTCTCTAGGAGAGAGAAAAGGTGGCGAAAACTCAAACAATAGAACTTGAAGAAATTCTGAAAATATGAAGTATGAATTGATGAATAATTCTAGGAAATTAGCAGTATTTATAATACATTTGGAAATTATAAAAGAACTAGGAAATAACAACTAGGATAGATCCAATCATCTAATCTGATAGGTTCGAACTCTTCTTGGTTTGATCTCCACCGTCCGATCTCCCTTGATGCATGAATCTTGGATTATCTTGCTAACCTTGATGCTTCTTGGAGTCTTGTTGGAATTCTGATCTTAATTTCTTGATAATCTTGGAAGAGTCTTGAAAATCTTGGAAGAGTCTTGCTTTATCTTGATAATCTTGGAAGTTCTTCTTATCTTAACCTTATCCTAGGAGCTGCCGCCCCTAGGGGTGAGAAGGGCCTTGTGATGGGCCTCCATCAGAGCCTTACCACTCTTCCTCTTGGTAAGCAGGTTGTTGGTTGTAAGTGGATTTATACTGTTAAGTACTTACCTGATGGTAGTGTAGAGCGGCTGAAAGCTAGACTGGTTGCCAAAGGGTACTCCCAAACCTATGGTATTGACTACACAGAGACCTTCTCCCCGATTGCTAAGATTGATTCAGTTCGTGTTGTGATCTCTCTTGCTACTATGTATGATTAGCCCCTCTATCAACTTGATATCAAGAATGCTTTCTTGCATGGTGATCTGCTCGAGGAGGTCTATATGGAGCAACCATCGAGGTTTGTTGCTCAGGGGGAGGATGGTAAGGTGTGCAGACTAAAAAAGGCCATTTATGGGCTTAAACAGTCTCCTCGAGCATGGTTTGGTAGGTTCAGTGAGGTGGTAAAGAAGTTTGGTATGAAATAGTGCCAAGTTGACCATTCAGTCTTTAGTCATGACTCTCAGGCAGGAAAGATCCTATTGATGGTGTATGTAGATGATATTGTTATTACTGGAAATGATAAAATGGGCATTGATAGGTTCAAGACTTTTCTGCAGGAACATTTTCAAACAAAGGACCTTGGTAAATTGAAATATTTCTTGGGGATAGAAGTAGCAAAGTCTAAGCATGGTATTAACTTGTGTCAGAGGAAATATGTCCTTGATTTGCTGGAAGAAACTGGTTTGTTAGGTGCTAAACCAATTGAAATACCTATGGAAACAAACACTAAGTTGAGTACTGATATGGGTGAATTGTTTGAAGAACCCGGTAGATACCAGCGGCTTGTAGGTAAACTAAACTACCTAACCATTACTCGGCCAGACATTTCATTTGCGGTTAGTGTGGTAAGCCAGTTCATGCAGAAACCTCTGGTTCCACATTGGCATGCGGTTCCTCAATTTTATCAGGTTTGTTTGGATCCCTCCAAGCCAGATAAGAGGGTTTGGACTCCTAGACCCAATGGAACCTTCACTTGTGCTTCTTTCTTCAAGTCCATCTCTCAACTTTCTACTCACCAACCCTTTCCGTCAAATGAAATTTGGTGTAGGCCAGTTCCCCCAAAAATTATGGCATTTTGTTGGGAAGTATTCCATGGGAAAGTTAACACTTTAGATAACCTACAAAAGAGAAGACCTTTCCTCTGTATTTCTCCTAATTGGTGTATCCTCTGTAGAGCTCACGGTGAGGATTGTTACCATTTATTAATATCTTGTCCCTTTTCTGCAGACCTTTGGGCTTGGCTACTTTCGTTGTTTGGGGGTAGTTGGAGTCTACCAGCAGAAGTTCACATGCTCTTCAACCATTCTACCTTTTATTGGCCTACAAAAATAGGGAGAATTATGTGGAGATGTGCTCGTGCTGCTTTGATTTGGACTCTTTGGGAAGAAAGAAATCTTAGAATCTTTCAAGAAAAGGAAAGGAGCAGCCAGGATTTGAAAGACTGTGTTAAAYAGGGCAATACATTGGCTGAAGACCTTGAAAATCTTTCATCAATTCTCCTTTAATGACCTTTGGAGAAATTGGTCAGCAGTAGCGAGGTGTTCATCTCTAAAGGACAAATCAATTACAAGCTGGTCTCCTCCATCCGAAGGCTAACTAAAGTTGAACTTTGATGGAAGTAGCAAGGGTAATCCAGGTTTATCCGGAATGGGGGGTGCTTTGAGAAATGCGAAGGAAGAGATTTTGTTGCTTTACTCAGGTCCCTTGGGATTTGGGAACTCCATCAAGGTAGAACTCTTAGCTGTTGTACAAGGGGTGCAATTTGCAAACCAGCTAGGGGGTACAACAACTAATAATTGAGGGGGGCTCCAAAGTGGTGGTGGGTTGGTTGAAAAATTCTGAAGAGGCTATGTCGCGATACAAGAATGAAATGAAGAAATTTAGTTGGTTGACAAGGAATATGTTGGTCACTGTACAGTGGGTGGAGAGATCAGCAAATACTTTGTCAGATATGTTAGCTAAGCAAGGGGAAAATAGGGAAGAAATATTTTGGGCTCAGTTGTGATTCTTGTTTTTCTTTCCTAGTTTACTTGTAAGTTTCAAGGAGGGGCTGCAGCTCGCGCCTCTCGCTGGGATGATGTATGAACYYACTCTAAATTTGTTTCTGAATCAATAAATTTATTATTATTCATCAAAAAAAGGGGGCTCCTGGTCGTGGTTTGATATACAGGAGTGGTGAAAAACTTGAAATAGAAGGATATACTGATGCTGACTAGGCCGGTTCTATGTCCGATAGGAAATCTACCGCAGGCCATTGCACTTTTCTTGGGGGTAATCTGGTGACATGGAAAAGTAAGAAGCAGACAGTTGTGGCAAGAAGCAGTGTAGAGGCAAAATATAGAGCTATGGCACATACTACTTGTGAATTAGTGTGGTTAAGGAAACTTCTACAGGAGATGGGATACACTATTGACACTCCAATAAAGCTCTACTGTGACAATCAGGCTACAGTTCATATTTCTTATGAGAGAACCAAGCACATAGAGGTTGACTATCACTTTGTGAGAGAGAAGGTGCTGAATGGAGTGATAGATACTACATATGTTAACACAAGGAACCAATGGGCAGACTTGTTTACTAAAGGGTTAAGTCGGGGAAGAGTGGACTACATATGTAACAAGCTGGGATTATATGATRTATACTCTCCAGCTTGAGGGGGAGTGTTAGTGTCGAGTATGTAGGGGTATTTCTGTCTTTATGCTTATGTTTATGTTGCTGATGTGTAAGATTATGCTAGATCTAGTGTCCCTCACTTAAGTTGGGGCACATGTGTCTTTTCCACAGTATTAGTAATATAAAACAAATATGGCTGAATGGTAGGTGATTTTTCTCTCATTTGAACCAGACCTTTCTCTCCCTTTCTTCTCTTCTCTTCTTCTCCTTTCTCTCTCTCTCTTTCTCTTTCTTCTTCTTGACTGTTATCAGCCTAACAGGATTCAAGGGCAGGCCGAATCCTAATAACTGGTCTCTAGGGAACACAAAAAGTGCCAGGAATTGGGGGTGTCTTTAGAAACCATGAACAAATTCTTTTGAGCTTTTCAGGTAATGTTGGAGTATGAATATTGCTAAGGGTGGTTTTGTTGGCACTGCTTGAGGGGTTAAAATTTGTATCTTCTTCAGGCTGGGCTAATTTTATGTGGAAGGTAACAGAAAAGAGATAATTCAATGGTTGTTGTCTTTTTTTCGATAAATAACTCAGATTTTATTGAAAATAGAAAATGATTTACAAGAGAACCTAAGAGTGGTGGAGGATCTACCACTCCCACAAACTAGTTCCCACTTTACAACTAATTTGATAGCGCATTATAAACCATTTACAACTCAGCCAAATTCAATAGTGTTCTCTTTCTATATTGCAAAGACACAAGAAGGTTGGTCGGTTTAATGGTTCATTGAATACCTTATTCACTGGATCACAAGATAGGTCAATACTCTTGCTGATGCTTTGACTAGGGAAAGGGCAGGTAGGCTGGAGTTAATTTGGGGAATACCTAGCCCAGGGGCTCAATTGAATCTGGCACAGCATGACAACACTGTATTTTACAACATTGTTCTATTCCTTTTCTTGTATTATTGTATTGTGCTTGTTTTCTTTTTATTTTGTCAGATGTTGCTTTATTGCAATTCCCCTGCTAACTCATTAGTAGCAAGACAATAAATTGATTGATTTATTTATAACTGTAAAGCTTTATTAGACTTTTTTGAAAAAAAAAAAAGAAAAAAATGAGGTATATACTATATGCCATGCATCCCAGAATGTGAACTGGACAAAAAATCACTTTGATCATGTTAGAGGCAAATAAAATCTCCTATATACCTGTTGGGAAAAAATAAAATGGCTTGTATTCTTTTCTATTGAACTAAGATAAGTAGAATAATGCAGGTTCTCTTGTGGAAGGGAAAAATAATTGTTATTGAAGGCAGATTTATCATTATCAAAATATCAAATGAACAAGTGTAATCACCTGTTTTGTATCTTTTATTCTCTTCTTGAATAATTTTGTTTTTATTTATTTTCAAAAAAAAAAAAGAACAAGTATAATCAGTATTACCAATGGCGCCCATGGCACTTTCTATTGCAAAGGGACTTGAATATGGCACTTGCTATTGGAACCATGAAAGATTGATATCTTGAGAATGCACAATATGTAGAAGTGTCCTATGAAAGACTTGAATGTGCTATCGTCCTTCACTACCTTGGGTGCTATTAACCCAAGAGAAAAGGGGGAGAAGTTATAAAGTATCTACTATAACCATTATGAATTTTCTACCTAGCTTACCTGTTAATGCAAGTGAATGATATCCGCCACTTGCTATCTGAATAACATGAATATCTTGAAGGCTAGGAATTGGTTGTGGTTTCCAACCACCAATCTTGTCACCCCTTCCTAACTCATAGTTGGAATTTGCTGCATAAAACATAAGGTGCCATCAGAATGATATCATGTTTGATTATATGGATAGAAAGATAAGCCAAATTCCATTGAAGGATAATATATGTTGAACACTAATCTAACTTGACTCAATATTCCCCATGGTGATAACACTCAAGCTTCACCTTCGGCATTATCGACATACAAGGGAACAGTAAACAAAGTATCTACTCATTAAAAAAATCCATCTTTTAGCACAAAATGACTCCAATAGGACTCGATTACTTATTAAGAAAATTATAATTTCTATGAAAGGACAACTCCAATTTAAAGCCTCCTAATTGAATTAAGCAACGAAAGGAAATGCTAATCACAGATCGAGAAGCATTACAAGCTTATGTACAAACTAAAAGAAAAATTAGAAATGCCCCACATCATCGTCACCTAATCCTTATCTCAACTATATGTGGTCAGCTATATGGGAAATGCTAACCTCCTAACCATGTTTATCTCAGGAGGTTAGCATCATCTCCAAATTTATTTGGACAAACTGTATACCAATTACCCTTACTACTACATTTCACATAAAAAAGAAACAAGCCTTTTCATTTATTCCTTCCTTCTCACTGTAGCCCCCTTTTTTTTTTGAGAAAAGATAAATGAAATCATCAAGCAATCGAAAAGGGGAAGGGGGGGTGATTTCTAACAATAGGTGGAATAGCTTCCACGGGTCTAGAATCTGTCCTGAAGCCTAGTTGATAACATTTCTTGAATCATCTTCCACTGCAATGCAGCTGAGCCGCTGTGATTTGGCAATTCTGAGGCCTTCCAAGAGGGCCCTTGCCTCTGCATCAGAAACATCTTCTGCCTTGACTGGGCCACTATAGGCCCAAATCAAATCTCCATTTGCTCTTCAAATCAGTCCTCCAATTCCAGCCTTTGATCTGTCCACAGTGGCTCTCCTAAAACTGCCATTGAAGTTTAGAAGAAATTCAGTCTTGTCATGGGGTGATTATAAGAGGAGGTTGAGGGTGAAAAGGAGAGGTTGATAGTAGAGCAGGCCAGTTACTATGTATGTCATTCCGACTGATACCCTCAAAGATTTTGCTATTCACCATCCAGCTGCTAATGTTGGCCAGAATGCGATCTTGAAGAGCCTCCAAGGAGTAGCTCTCCTCAAATAATCTCCTATTTCTTTCTTCCCAGATATTCCACATAACAGCATGTACAATTGCTTTCCAGAAACAGCTTCCTCTCTTGCCCAAAAACATCTTTAGCCCTTGCCAAGAATTGATAAACTCTATAACAGAATTACGGGGGTGCAAGTGACCTTGCCACCAGCTGAGGCATCAAGAAAGAACTGCCAGAGACTTCTGACCACCAAACAATTATTCACCATCCTTGTAACACATCAGACAGATATTGGGAGAGAGAGAACGATGGCCTTGAAACTTCTTTTGGAGATTGTCACAAGTATTCAGCTTTGAGCAAGAAGCCTCCCAAATCATGACAGAAACTCTAGGGGGGGACTGTGGGGAGCCAAATCTTTTTGCCCGGAAAAGGAGAGGGGGGTGGGCTGGTGGTTAGGTGTTGAAAGAAAGAAGAGGTAGTGAATGAGCCTTGAGGAGTTAAAAGACCAAATAAGTTTGTCTTCAGTGGAGTGAGAGATTAACACTTCCAAGAGTAAGGAGAGTAAGGAGGTGATTTCAGAAAGTTCAGAATCTCTTAGCTCTCTGTGAAAATTGAGGTTGAAGGAAAGGCCCTCTGAATCTCTTATCAAGGTTACAGAAATGAGAGCATGTTTATCACGCACTAGCCTAAAGAGAGAGGGGAAGGCTTCACAGAAGAGAGTGCTTCCCCAGTCCCCACCAAAGGTCTGTCCAGAATTTAATATTATTTCCTTTTCCTACTTTCAACCTAATAAGGGGAGAGAAGGAATCAAAAGAATGAAGGATACCTTTCCAAGGATTTCGCGAGGAATGAGCCAGTAAAGGGAGAGAGTTGCCCCGTTCCCAATTGCTTCTGCTGTATTTGCTGCGGATTACAGAGGGCCATAGAGAGTTTTGTTCTGTTTTGAATCTCCAAAGCCACTTTCCAAGAGAGCCTGATTTCTTTCTGAGATGTGACCCAATCCTAGCCCACCATCTTTCTTGGCCTTACACACTGTTTTCCAGTTTACAAGGTGGCAGCCCTTCTCTCCTCCTCCCTCCCAGAGGAAGTCTATTTGGATTTTTTCCAATCTATTTCTGATCTTTGCTGGAACTTTAAAGAGGGAGAGGAAATAGATAGGGAGATTTGAGAGAGTATCCTTGATGAGGGTTAGTCTACCACCTTTAGAGAGATAATTTCGCTTCCAGTGCTCAACCTTCTTTCACATTTCTCTATTACAGCATCCAAAAAGATGCAGATCTCAGATTTCCCCCAAGGGGGAGACCCAGGTAGGAGAGTGTTGTAATGTGTAGCGGCCTGTGGCCTAGTAGGGGCGTTTCTGCCTTTTCCTCATTGTATTTGTTATGAGCTGTCGCCCTAAGTATAAATACTAACTTAGGCGCTGCCAGCTTTAGACTTTTGAATAGATTTTTCTCTCTTCCCTCACCTCTCTTCTCCCTTCTCTCTTCTTTCTTCTCTCTTCTCTGTTCTCTGATCTTGTTCTATTGACAGCTTTGAAAGATTTGTGTTAGAGCCAAAAGATTTCAAACCTGAAAGGGGGCTTGGTGGGGAGAGGTTTTTCTGTATTAAGTATCACCGGCCAATGATCTGAAGTGCTCCGGACTCCAGTTTCTTGGACAGAGCCAGGGAATTGATCCTCCCATTCCGGAGAAAATAGGAACCTGTCTAGATGGAAATAAATGTCTTCTGCTTGCATGTTTGACCAAGTGAATCTGGCATTCCGCAAGGGGGGATCTAAGAGGGAAAAATCTTGGATAAACTTAGAGAAGAGGCGCATGCTTCTTGTCTGCCTTCTTCCATTCGATTTCTCTGAGGCAAATCTGGTCACATTAAAATCCCTGGCCACGCACCAAGAAAGTTATCCATGAGATCCTATCATCCCCACCTCCTCCCAAAGCTGGGGTCTTGATCTAGAGCTATTCGGGCCATAAATCCCTATGAAAATCCAGGTGAAACCATCTGCTATATTGGAGAAGAGGACTGAGATTGAGAATTGGCCTCTATCTATCTCAACCCCTGACAAGACACTTTCATTCCAAATAATTAGAAGACCTCCTGATGATCCTGAGGCAGCAAGCCATACCCAATTTTTATTTCTGACCTCCCAATTTGCCTTTATCAACCTTCTATCAATCCTCTCTTTCTTGGTTTCTTGAATTACCACTAAGTCTGGGTTTTCTCGGGTGAGAGTCTCCTTCACTAAGTTTCTTTTTTGACCCCCTCCGGCCCTCCCAAGCCTCTAACATTCCAAGTCAACAGCTTCATTAAGATTCATCTGGTTTCTTTCCCTGATTTCTTTTCCTCCCTACACTTTCCTTGGCTTCCTTCCAATTCAAGTCACACCTTAGCTTCTTCAACTCTCTCATTGACCTCGAATGGAGGGTATTACCCTTCTCCCCTAAGAAGTCCTTTATTTTCCAATTCTTCCCTTGAGAATCCACTGTAGATATGCCTAGATTTCCAGATATCTTATCTGTTTCGCTTGCTGAGTTCTCTGATTTCTGTTGCTTCCAGGCAAACTCTCTATGAGCCCATGTTTTCAGCCGGTCATTCTTGGGGCAGATGGGCAGTGGTTGTGGGGGTCCACTCTACCTGTACCTGCTAAATCAGGGGGGGGAGGGACACAGAGGTATCGACAATGAGGAAGGAGAAACAAATTGAGGAGAGGAAACAGGAAGTTGGAACGAAGTAACTGGAGACTCAGATTGAGGCATGAAAAGCAGGCTTGTGGTCTGAAGTCTGAACTGAGTTCTCTGACCTTTTTCCGAGCAAATGGGCGGCTCCCCTCCCACCGCTATTGCAATAGAGATGCGCCTTCTCTTGATTTTCTTTGAAGAGAGACTTCATTCCTGATAAAGGACCTTCTTCCACTGGAAATTCCGCTTCTGATCTATACGAACCCAACTCCTCTTCTGAACTCATATCTGCTTCTGAATCTGAGGGAAAGGAGGAGGGCGTTGAAGGGCAGAACACTGAGGATTTTTCTTCTCCTAGAAAAGGGTGGGTATTTACTGAAACTTCCAAAGGGTACAGTGGGGTTTGCGGTGACAATAACATTTCTGAGTCTTCTAAGTAGGCATCCTCAAGCAGTTGCAGGCCTGAAGAGTTTGGATCGAAGGAGGAAGAAACTTTCGGGCAGTTAATCTCTCGACCAAGGGTTGACTTATCCATTGAAGTAGTTTGGGGAAAAGGGCCTGTCTTGTTTGGTCCCACCTTCAAAAGATTTTGTTAGGGCCATAGTTGTCAAGGCGGACGCCTAGGCAACAAGGCACCCTTTGAGGCTCGCCTCGCCTAATCGCCAAGCAGTTTTCTACTTCCTACTATAAAATACTTTTTATTCATTCTTTCTTGAGATGATAATTATAAAATAGACATTATTAAACTAAAATAATCATTTTGTGTGTTTATATACAAATTTCTTTTTATTATTTTCTTATTTATTAGGGTTTAATCAACACAAACATTGATAAATGCTGAATTGAACCCTCAAAGACTTAAAAACCTGAACCAATAAGTAAGGAAGAACTTAAAATTTTATCTAATCAGCACATTTTCCTCTTCCATATATTCTTCTTCTATTTCTTCTTCTTCTTCTTCTTCTTCTACTANTTCCTCTTCCATATATTCTTCTTCTATTTCTTCTTCTTCTTCTTCTTCTTCTACTACCAATACTTTTTATTTTCTTCTTTTCCTATAACAAAAATAAGGGTTCAGCCCCTGTATTTTTTGAATTTTATTTTCCTTCTTCCTTTTCTTCTCTTGAATATGTTGATTTTCTATACTTTAATATGAAATTTATACTTTTTTATGAAAATCATGAATAATTATTAAAGAAATATGGTTATGGTACCTAGGGAACTACCCTA